AGACAAATTAAAGAAGCCACACCATAAGGATTCACTGAAGCCTCGTTTGGTATCGAAAGGTTCGGATAAGTCCTTCCCGATACGGAAAGTGCTTTTAATATTGCTTAAGGTCAATTTGCATAGACGTATAAGTTTTGCAGGGATATCAAATTCAGACGACGACTTTAAAATCGAGGAAAAGGTAGTGGGTGTCGATCCTCGTTTCACGAGTCTTTTAATTGTTGCATGGCACAATGTTATTAACTCGGCTATAATTGCATAAGCGGTGCCTACGCCAGTAAAGAAGAAGAAGAAAGCCACACTGATAAGGTCCAATCAGTTTGCTGACGGAAGGCTTTAGTCTTTCCCACAAAAAGCTTGATAGGATACTATATGCGATATTAAGCAGGCTTACTTCACGGTAATTGGCGCACCTTTTCATGGATTGGGCAGAGCACACTTAGGTTCCAATCGTCGGGCACGCTTTCATCCGACAATATTTTGCAAAAAAGCTGATGCGTTATTCACCGCCGCGAGCGGACGATTGCTATTAGAACATCTTCACAGTTGGTGTTGCACTTTCATTGTCATTCAGCAGGCTGGAGAAGTGTTCCCTCCATAATTTCAATATATTCTAGGCATCAGTTACTAGATTACCTCTTCGTGTCTTTGCTATAGGTTTGTTCACGTTTCCAGGGTGCGCAACGTAGATGCAAAAGTAAGAATTGAGTATAGCCCCGCGACTGTAGCTACATGCCAAAGAAGCTTAACTACATCCCATTTCACACCAACATTACCCAAGGCCTGTTAGCGCCTTTAGTCTGGATTATTTAATCCATTTGAAACGAGTTTACGAAACAAAAGTTTCTTCGGAAATATTTTGCTCATTAAAATGGTTTGAAATCAAGAATTTCAATTTCAGCAGAATCAAATGACCTTACCAATAAACGTGTGCATGCCCGTCTGTGTGTATGTGTGTGTGTGTGTGTGTGTGTGTACGCACAATTAAAAAGTGAAAGTTTTATCTTGCATGGCTTGCCATTGCATTTTCTTCTTCTTCATCAGTTCCCGCTCCACTTCCATTCTCCGGGGTTCCAGTTAAGCGTTTCATAATTCCATGCAACTATTTTTTCGCTTCAAAACATTTTATTAGCAGGCAGACAGCAGAACATGTAATCAGAGTGTGTGAAATCTTCAAATTGCAATCAACTCTTGCAACATGTTCATTACTCGCAAATATATCAACTTTTCTGCGCTCATATTATGCCATAAAGTATATGAACACGAGCATCCTTGGTTGCAGAAGAGAAGGATATCTACAAGTGAATATGAGAGTGCGAACATATGCAGGCTCCTCTACTATAGAAATATATAGAAATCGTAGCACTCGAAGACATTTATGAGCTCGCTCCAAACTGCTTGAGTGCACTTTCGAATTTTCTCGTTATAACCAACGCCCACCATCGTCTCGCCGACTGTACGTCCATCTTTATTGCCACCAGCAACATACAATTCTGCCAATTACGCGGAAAGTATTGCAGTTGGCTAACTGCAACCGGGCGACTGTCGGTAGAGAGCGTTCGAGAAGGAAGTTAAGTGTTGTTGGATTGCGTTGATGGCGTTTCATTTAATGATAATGCTAGCACATTAAATACATTTTCCACAATATGTGAGTATGAGTACGAGACAATCCAGCTGTTTGTGGTCGGACATGCAATGGGACGTAAGCGGATGGGGAACGCTGAAGATACTGGCTTGAAGCTTGGAAAAAGGCCAAACGAGTTAGTTGGTGTTGGTGCTGTTGTTAAACTTGTGGCATATGAAAATTCATACAGGGCAATTTAAAGTGTCATTTAACTTGGTGCATACAAATAAACGGATGTCCATAAAGGGTGTTTTTTTTTAGACGTGCGGTTTTCAATGAGGCAATACCTTTTACGGAGTTGGTCTTTTACTTGATTTAAACTCGCCCGCTACATTCAATATTCGATCCGACATATTCGCTCGGCAGATTCAGTAATTCAAGCAACCATGTACCGGTTTCGCATCCCGTTTGCTCTAGTGGATAATGTTCATGTTGTTGTTGTTGTTGTTGTTGTTGTTGTAACCGCAAAACTATTCCCCAAAGTACTTTTTGGTAAATATTGCGAAAGTGTCAGTCCTTGGCCGGATAAAAATCCGGGTCGTTCCGGTATAAAGACCCGACTATCGCGGGAACTATTGGATTTTAGTCGCCTCTTACGACAGGCATGCCTTACCGAGGGTAAATTCTTGAGCCTCTAACCCGCAGGGGGTGGATAATGTTCATCCTCAGCCACGACGTACAGTGCTCATCGAAGACGTCATTTCTGTTGTAGGGTAGAGTATTGAAGAAAACCTGGAAGAGTCCATCCACTATCGTACGCAACAATTGTAGCAGTGCCCATCCACTTTATGGCCAAAAACGAGATGATTGTTGTTGTTGTTATTGTAGCGGGTACGTTTACCCCTCTTCAGGACAGGCTAATTAATCAAAGTCGCCGATTTCATCTAACGGGAGGTCAAGGAAACGTACCGTTTCGACAGGATCGGACCAGAAGGAGAGGGGGGGTTAGATTTTTGGCATGTGAAGAGGTGGTTAATGTAGAGCGTGACTCTTCACATGCAGGCATACGTTGGGTATGCTGGAGTTAAGTCTAGATAGGTAGGAATTTAACCTACTACAGTCTCCAGACTAAGTTGTGCCTGAGTCAAGCGGGTCTTTCGAGGCAGCTCGAGCTCGAGCTCGTTGTCTTCACTGGGTGTTGCATAATCATCAAGCACGACGTTCATGGGGGGAACTCTTTGAAGGTGTTGACTGACTGCTAGTGAATGGCATTCAGTGCTTGTTTGTATACCGTCCTGTCCAGCAGCTGTTGCACATGTTGCTGGATGGTGTCCTTCATGTCAAGTACTGCCTTTCTGATGTGCCTTGGTGGAGATTCAGCTTTTATAAGATGCCCCTAGGAGTGCTCCCTACGGTAAAATCCCAATAGGAATTGCTTGCCCAGTAAAGCAATTTGCTCCTTAACTGGATGCTTCGCTGTGCAAGTGATGCTCCGGCAACATCAGAAGGTTTCCTATCGTGGCCCTGAGGCCGACGTTTTGGCAAGCCTGTAGCTTCTTCATCTTTGGGTTATTTATGGTCGGACTTTTTACATCTTCGACATTCAAATCTAATTCAAGCCTGTACTTCTTCTTCCAGCTGGGGAAGAGAGTAGCCGAGGAACTAGTTGGTTGAATTTTGAGCTGTCTTGCAGTGCAGAAGTGGGTAAGGTCGGCAAGACAGCAGTGCACTTTCGAGCAAAGGTCGTCAATATTCTGGACAGACGCCAATATCGTGCAATCATCGGCATAGGAGGCTAAGGAAACTCCTTCTGGTGGAGGAGGGAGTTTCGAAAGGCAGAAATTAAACAATAGTGGGAAGGGGACACCCTGCGGAACCCCTTGTTAAATTTTTCAGTTTCAATGTTCCACTTAGGACCACTATCGATGTGGACGACGTTTTGTACCAACAAGACGGCACTACAATAAATTTATTGAAAAAATTTCTTATAGGTGAATTATCTCGCGGCGTGGGGCAGTGGCGGGAGCTCCTGGCTCGTACGATTCAGCATTACTGTACCATTTTTTGTGGGGTTATTTGAACTTCGCTGCGCAGATAAGACCATAGTCTAGGAACATGGCAAATCGAAAATAAATGAACTTTCGTAATTACGCCGGAAGTAACTCAAACTTCGAGCCGATTGAACTTCGCTATCTAAACTAAAGAAAAACCTCAAGCTTGTCTTGGACCCAGTTAACTATAAAGGACTTTTCCCGAATATACCATATGGCGGAATCACATCAACTAACTTCATAACAATACTTAGCATACATGCTAACTGATTACCCTGTTTTATGCAATAGTATGTGTATATACATACATACATATTTGTAGGTTAACTTTCAAAGGAGTTTATGCCTTGAATATTCATGAAAACCTCACGCCCACACGACTCTATTATTACGCTACACACACGTATTCGCCCATCTTCCGAAACTCCACTGTACATTCTCGTTGGAGTAATTATCATCAGCACTAAACCTTGACCCCAATTCAAAAATACAATGAACTGCACAATAACCATACATTGCACTCTAAGTCATTAAATAATTCCATATAATAGCTTTGCTAGGAACTCATTGGTTCATTAATGTTACTGATACTATTAAAAATGCATACCATGGAAAAGCTGTGCACTGGAATGCGTAATATAAGATGAGTTTGAATTCGAAGCGGCAAAAGACGGTTACATGTGTCTGAAACAGTCCCAAGACTCTCAATTCCTTTACAACTATCAGGAATTTAAAGAGCACAAGAATATAAGAGATTCCTAAGTAGCGAAGGAACATAAATCATTTTGGTTTCTAATATAGGAACGGCTGGAAGATAAATCTTAAGTTTATAACACTGCTTCTGGCTAAACCGACGCTAACTTGCAAAACTTGGGAACTGACTTATCTCTTCGCGCTATACCGTGAAGATATAATCTAGATTTATTCTCCTCTCTGAAACTTAAATGCAAACCATGGGAATTACGCCCAACTTCCCCTCATGGCTGCTTAAGACAGACAATCCTAGTTTCCAGTCTTTTAAGAGAAACTTTCCTTTATCCGTTGCTCACACTGACCATGATGGGACACAGATACCATTGTAAATTTTTTCATGAGCTAGCATTTTTTTGAATAACAACTATCTTAATAGTAGAGAGCAGCATGCCTACACTCATATACGACGATGAATCGGTACCTCACTAACCTAAGAAAAAACTTCCTACTCCAATTCCAATTTGTACTGTATTTAATCATGTAATTCTTATTCTTAACAGGAGCTTAGTAAATCGCTAACACAACACCAACATTTGATTCCCGGCAGCACAAATATTTTAATACTACGGCACAAAATATGCTTATAACCTGAAATCTTACAAATTTTATTTATAAAAATTAATACCAAATTATTTCAGTTTTCACCACTTATATTAAAAAAAATCTGTATTTTATAGTTTCTTCACTTTTATGCTGTACGAATTTTAATTTCCCGTATAAACAATAAGATATACACACAAAGAATAAAATTTCTACAGACGGCGACCACGACGACCACCCTTCCTGCGAGTGGAATCTGATGGAATTGGTGTAACATCTTCGATACGTCCAATCTTCATTGATGAGCGTGCCAGAGCACGCAACGCCGACTGGGCACCGGGTCCGGGAGTTTTAGTTTTGTTGCCACCGGTAGCACGCAACTTAATGTGCAGGGCAGTGATTCCCAAAGTTTTGCACTTTTCTGCAACATCCTAATATAAAAAATAGGAAATATTTTTTTTAATACTTTTCATATTAAAGTCAATACACACAAAAGCAACTTACTTGAGCAGCCAACATAGCAGCGTAGGGAGAAGCTTCATCACGATCAGCCTTCACCTTCATACCACCAGTGACGCGAGCAATTGTTTCACGTCCCGACAAATCAGTAACATGTACGAAAGTGTCGTTAAAGCTGGCATATATGTGTGCAACACCGAAAACATATTCGCCATCGCGAACTTGAGGGCCCAACGAAACTTGAACTTCTTCCTTTTGAGCTTTAGCCTTTCTTGGTGCCATTTTTTAATGATAGGATCAACTGTAAATGAAAATTACACATAATTAATATAAATCTTTAAATAACACAAGTCACTATCGTATAGGTGAATTTGTTTATCCAATGTTCAAGCGTATGTGTATAAATTCAATGCAGTGCACAATATTTTTATTTGTGAACATCCACTAACACAGACAGTTCAGTGCACAATTGTTTACTTTAAGTTCTGGAAAAATACCAGTTTAAGTTTCATACACATTTCTTTCGTAAACAAATTCAACATTTTCGAAAATATTTATAAATTTTTAAAGAGCTTAAATAAAACACAGACCAATTACGTGAACCGGATATTGAAAAAGAAAGAAATCAGATTTTCGCTGTCAAAAGTGTCAACGATTGTTCAAATGTCAAAACTGCTAGAATTACAGGGTTGCACAGTTTCAATTAGCTGTTATTCCATTAAAGTCGAGTAAGGTAAATAAATTAAATAAAAAAAATTCAATAAGATAAATAAAATTGAAAGCCTGGAATTGCGATTTAAAGGATTTATTTCTTCACCATAAGTTTTCGTTAAACTTTTTTGTGATATGTAAATGTTAAGTTTCCAAAATATAAGTACTGAAGACTTGAGACAATGGTTCATACCATTCTCCGAAGCTGCTGTTGTTATTGGAACCGCAAAAATATCACACAATTTGGTTTTTGGAGCTTGTTGTGGGACTGACAGTTCTTGCATAGATCAAAAATCTTTACCGTTTAAGTATCTAGACCGGACCGTCGCAGAAACTACTCAAAACTGCACTCATACCGTACCACGGGAAGGTTATTAAACCTATAACGTACGGTCTAATCATTACCCATGCTAAAATGTGTTCAACCGCAGTTTCCAATAAATTACTGAAGTAAGGATGGAGACATCTCTTCGCTGACGCCAAGAACAATGAGCCTATATTTGATCTCTTCAGTGGTTACAGAGCAGCATATATTTAAAATCGGAATGAACGTAATTTAAAGTAAATCATAGACAAGTTTTAAATACACCCCATATGAGCCTCTTGGCTCGAGTCTGTCTAATAAATAACGATTCTGCATGCAATTTACAAAAAATATTTGTATTTGGTCAGTGTAAAGTGGAAATAATATCACATTTTTAAATTCGCCGAGATATTTTCGTTCTAGCTGTCGCTTTCTTGCAGTATGTTTATCTTTGGTATGTTACCAAACTACATTCTTTTCACTCGTACTCACTACAATACGTCTACAGGGAGTAGATGTTTTCCTTTTCCACAATTTGCATCAATAAGCAACAGCCCTGCCAAATGGTAATATTTTGTTTACACTTACTTAATTATGGAGGATATTATCCCTTTATTTGAATAAAAAACAATGTTTGAAGTTGAAAAATTTATGAGAAAATTGCTAAAAAATGGTTTAAGGTTTCGAACATTAAAAACTCTTCTAAACACGTGTAATTAATATTAAGTTTTTGTATCAGTTTTTGAGAGATTTTTAAAATTCAATACCTTTTCCCACTTCACAAGCTGGCAGCACAGCAGGACCGTCCGATTGTGTGTGTGCGTTTTGTGTTCCAAAAGAAATTTTGTGTGTGAAAATTTGGCGACGAAAAATTGAGATTTTGATTACAATTTCCTACAGAAAAACTGTAAAATGTGTAGAAAATTTTAGCTTAATGGTACTAAAAATGAATGTCTTGAAACTAAGTGTGAAAATGTGAAATTAAGTGTTAAATAGTGCTGAGCGATTGAATGGATAATTTCTGCCTACAGTAGTCGGGGGCACTCGGTCATTTTCCTTTCAGTAGTAGAATTGAACAAATTTTCCACCATCGATTATGTGAAAATTACCTTAAAATTCCATAATTAGTGTTTTTATATTTTCTAACGGCCGCAATCAGATTTTGTCAAAATATTCAGTGAGCTTCAATTTTTTTTATCATTTGATGTATGTTACATATTTTTTAGAAGTGATTTTCCAATCAAAAGGGGAAGAGGAGTCTAATGAGAAGTAAATGTTAATGTGAAGGAAAGCAAAAGTGTTGGAAGAATCTAAAAAGCAAAAAAAAACGAGACTTGCTACTGAAGCGAAGACAACAAAAGGCGAGAAACGAATAGTGGCGACAACAAGAACAAACAAGACTTAAACAACAACAAAGTTGAGGCGAATTAAATTGTAGAATGATAATCGAAAGCGGCAAGTTAGAAAAAGTGCAAAAGAAAACACACGAATAAGAAGTCGAAAGAAAACGAGAAGGACTAGCAGCTGGTCGCTCAATCTGTAATGCTTCTGCTAACGCCGATGCGCTAACGCAACTGCATAATTCTACTCGTAATGTGTGTGTACTCTGCCCTGCGACATCAGAGGCGCGAGCAGCGGCGTTGACTTCGGCGTCGTGGAAGTTGGTGTTGTCGGCATGTGTTGTGCTATCGCACTTATTCGCAGCACGCAATCTCGTTTGGTCGCTTCTTGATTTGTTTTGCGGTAGTATTCGTTCGTGTTATTGTCGTCGCTGCATGGAACCTTGGTTTGGTAGGGGGGCTATTGAAACAAACGAAAAAAAAATAAATAAATAAAAAGCAAATCAAATATCCCCAACATTCGTGAAAGGCCCCGCAGACATCGAGGACGTTTTTGTATGCATCAACAACGGACTCGTTTAGGTAGCTGTTCGCATCAGAATTGAAACAAAAGAATTATAAAAGTGCACGAACACTAAATGGACAAAGATTATAAAAGCATAATATTTAGTTGTCTTGATCGTCGTCAATGCCATCGAAATCGTACGGGTATTTCAGTCGGCAATTAGTTAAATAAAAAAAACGGGTGAACACAAAAAGTGACAAATGTAAAATAAATGTACATATACATAGATCTATAGATATAATATCCATATGTATATAGATATATAACTATCTTTAAGTAAAGTTAATTAAATTCATTTGCTAGTGGTTTAATGTAAAGACACATACGCACACACACAAACTCATCCATCTATTCTCATCAACAAATATTATTCACACATACTATACCTACGAAGTGGTTAAATCATCCGTCGCGTCGCGTGAAAAATAATATTTTAAACACATACGTACAGAAGCGCTTGTTAAACACGTACGCAGTTCGCACAGTTTTTCGAGAATACGTTCTCTAATATACGTAAATCTACTAAATATTAATAAATCCCTTGGTGTGCATATACTTAAATAAGCAACATCCTGGCGAATCGCAACGGTAACAACGGAAACGGTGGTGGTAGCGGTGGAAATAATGCTTCTGGCGGCGGCGGCGGCGGAGGTGGTGGTGGTGGTAATAATGTAGCAGAGGGATCGCGACGTAACGGCGCTGCTGCAGCTGCTGCTGCTGTCGCAGCGGCTAATGTTGCGGGAGGTGCTGGCGAACAAGGCGCCGCAGCAGGTGGTGGCGGTGCAGCTGAGTGGAATCCAGAAGAAATCGATCGTTTTAGTTTCGATGATTCTGATCGGTTCGAAGAAGATTCCCTTTGTAGTTGGAGCTCTGAACCGGAATCGCTCTGCAATAATTGGCGTGGTTGGAAGAAACCCTCCAGTTTCGGTTTAACTAATCCCATAACGGCTAGTGCTAGCTCAACGCCGGCAAATACCGGTAGTGCAGTGCGGAAAAATGACGTTGACTGTGGTAAGTAAATAATCGAAGTAATGAAACTCATATTTTCACCTGTTTATGTACATACATATACACTTACATGTGTGATGTGTTATGGTATGCAGTTAAACTTGGTACATAAACTTGCGGTTTTGTTGCTAAAAGAAATTTTCCGTTTCACAGTTAATACGTTATTGAAAACTAACCTTAAATATGGATATGCATGTATATACATACATAACGATGTGTAATGTTTTATTTGATCAACTTTTAAAGGTATTAATATATTTGTTGAAATGGTACAAACCACATTTCGCAAATGAGATGATTACACTTTCGTCTATGACCTAATCCGGCTTTGGCGTGATTTATGTGCTTTTAAGCGAAAAATTTTTTTCTTCAAACTTTGAAGTTACTCAACCATGGGATGTTACCTTCAGCAAGGAAGAAGCGGAAACTACTAAAGTAGCGTTAAGATCATGCGGTTAAACTTAAGATAGAATTTTCTTTAGTAACAAATCTTGAAAAGCTGATTTGATTATCAAAGCAAGATTGAATGATCTCAAGTCAAATGGAGGAAAATTAATCATACTTACGTCTGTCCTTATATAATATGCTCATCCATTTGCGAATGCTTGCAACAAAGCCAATTCCTTTTTTATTCTATGCCGAACGCTTCTTTAAAGTCAAAAAACAAAAAAAAAACAGTCACAGTGAATGCTGCAACATACAATTATAGCTAAATATGTGCATATGTATATGTACGGTTTATTTTGAAACATCGCTGTTGTCCGTGTTGTGTTGCAGAGCTAATAATGTTGGTGCAACATTTAGCTTAACTTTTTTTTTATTTAGCTCAGCTTCTTCTAGTTGATTCGTTGAAAGATTTGATGTAATTTTCTTTTTATTTTTTTTTTAATTTTTTTTATTTTTTTTTTTATTTTTTTTTTATTTTTTTTTTTTGTTATTTTTATTTTTTATTTTTATTTTTTATTTTTTTTTTATTTTATTTTTTTTTTGTTTGCAGCGTTGCACTGCATTGAATGTTTGAATTGTCTAAAAATAACAAGTTGCATAGTTTTGTTATTTTGTTTGTGTGTGTTTTTCATTTGAGTTGATGTTGGTTGTGCCTCCAGTGGTGGCAACATGAACTTAACACAATGTTTTATAATGCTGCTCTTCCTTCGCCTTGGAGTTGTTGTGTGTGTATGTATCTTTTTGAAAAATCACAACACTACAACATGCGTTGTGTTCTACTCCTTTCACATATTTGTACTCACCTACATACATACCTACATATGTATGCAGGTCTATGTGTATCTGATCTGATTTCGACTATTTCGCCTTCGACGACTCAACCTAATAGGGTAGGTAATAAGTGTGTTTGTACGCTTATGCGGCATAAACAGTGGTGGCCATATAATTAGAGACGACGTCGTGTGATACAGAATATCCACTTTATTTAAAGAATTTAAATTAACTTTATAATTATTTTGATTAGAATTTATACGATTACATATGTATATACTTTTATTTAACGCAATAATTTGTTTTATTGTTTTTTTATTATTGAAAAAAATATATAAATTGAATTAATAAACAAAATAATATGATTTCATTGTTCACATAATTAGAAACGATTTAATATATACATTAGAAACTAAAAAAAAGCTTGCTAACTAAAAAATAAATACACAAAATTAGTATTTGATAGAGTAGCATTGGTTTCGGTTAATCTTTTGGGCAAACGCTCAATCACATTTCGACACGTTGCCGTGAGAATGTTCTCCCAACTTTCCTTCACTAATTGAAATAATTCGTTATTATTTCGCGGTTTTTTGTTTATTAGATCTCTTTTTTTCAGTGTCCCAAGTCCATGGTGTTTAGATCGGAATTTTGTGGGGACCTAGGCCAAACTTCGATTTTATTTTCCAAAAGCCATCCTTTCACTAATCGTGATATATGCATTGGGTCGTTATTGTGTTGGAAAGTATTATCAATCGGTATTTTTTTCAAAACTGAATGGTTCTATTATATTTTCCAATATGGCTTTATACTGAAATTGGTCCATTTTCCTCTCAATGCGAACAATTGAACCCACACCGTACCAGGAAAATGTATCCCAAACGATAATTGAGCTCCCTCTCTATGCTTGAATGTTTTTAAAGTATACCTGGGGTCCAAAGGTTTGTTTGGAGGGCGTCCATACGACTGAAACAAAATGAGTTTCGATTCATCACTCCAAAGAACTCGTTTCCAAAATTGTGGTAGTTCTTTATGCACGCTCTTTGCGAAGCTTAATTGTTTTTTAATATTTGTTTTGGAAACGTGCGTTTTTTTCTGTGCAATGCACCCACGACGTCCGGATTCATGCGAGCATCTTCTAATGATACTGGCGGAAATATTCACACCCATTTCCTTTTCGAAAATTGCGAAAGGATTTGCCTTACTCCGTCTTGTAATTATCCTGTCCTTAATTGGAGTGGTTTTACTTGGTTTACGACGGCGTTTCAGATTCTTAATCTTTTGTTTGAATTGAAAACATGATCTGCTTCAAACACCATCTTGAGTAATTAAACCGTTTTCCAATTTCCGCCATAGACTTCCTCTTACCCATTTCATTCACCAAAATGTTTCCAGCTTATTACGCAAATTCAGTAAGAACTTTAAAATATACTTACAATACATACACACCGGAGAAATGAGTATTTTAAAACAATTTTCACATGTTTCTAATTTTATGGCCACGAACACACGTACATATGTAACAGAAATTTTTAGAATTATGCGGTTCAAAAACAAAATATTTTTTCAAACCCCAAAATGAAACATCACAGAGTGGTTCAGCCCTTAAGATATTTATTTAAAAAGTATAGGACGTTGCGTTAATCATAATATTTAGTTTATGTAAAGTCGTTTCTAATTATGTGGCCACCACTGTTTGTACGTACAAATGTATGTACATGTAAATATTTATTCCTACTTTTGACTCGGAGCATTTTCCATTTATTTTTACATTAGTTGCACATTGTGTTGCATTGTAGTTCTATTTACATGTGTTTTATGCTTGTATGTATGGGCTGATGTGCGTATGCGTGTGTGTGTCTCGGCTAAAAAGCCTGTTCAACATCACCTGTGCATTTTCCTGTTGCTTGTTTTACTTGCTCCTTGCGCTCCCTACTTACATACAAATTATAGTTATTTTTTACACTCTTTTTTTGAGTTTTTTTTTTTAATTTTCTTCATTTACTTCATGCCTATGATATCCGTTTGTAGTTATATATCTATGTATGCATTTGTGCCTGTTTAGTTGGCTTCTTTACAGGCCATCCTAGTACCTACTGACTGCCACTCAGTTGGTGGTGGTGGTATTGGTGAGGCTTCACGGCAGTTACAACTTCTTGCCATTATTAACGTATTACAGCGCTTAAGATAAAGATTTCCATAAATTTTTAACGCTTTACTTACTAACAATGTATCTATATATACACATGCATACGTACATATGTATATACATACTATATACATACATGTGTACATACATATATATATATGTTGCTTCAATCATTTCGTCCATTCTGCTCTTGAAAGTCTTCTTTATCTGTTTCTCTACCCAGCATACGTGTATGTATGCACGTTTTGTGTTTATGTGTTTTCTCCATCTCCTTATTTTGTCTACCAATTCGCGTCGCAATGGATATCTTCATCTTCAGCAGCCTGCCATCATGCTGGTCATACGCAATTTCACAATTGCCTGCTGGCCTGTGCGCCTGCCATTTTGTGATGTCAAGAAACCATTTCAAGGATTCTCGCTTACTTGTCGCTGTTGTTTTAAATGGAAATAAAATGATGACACGATTTTCATATTTTTTTTTTTGTATTTAATTATGGATGTAGTACGAGTATGTGTGCTTGTTTGCCTACTCAATCGTTTACTTGTTGTACTATTTTCATGGCTTGTAAAATGTAACTGATCTGTCTGTCCATTGTTCCGCGTTTTGGTTGGTCAGTTGGCATACTGTGTTGGTTGCCGTACATTGATCCTCTTACTTATTATACTTATAAAGTGTTCTTAAGACAGTCGTTTTTGTGCTGATCCTATTTGGCATACACTGCATACACAGGAGAAGAGAGAGCTAGGTAGGTTGAGCGGTTTGTAAGAATCCTGACGACGCACCTAGTACTCTAGGTGTCCCATTGTGAATCCACCGGCACTGATCACACTACGATGTTCTCTCTGAACCACTCCGTTGTCTTTATACAGTTATTTTTTTTCGAAAAGTTTTACATGTGCAACTTCCGAGAAATCGACGGGAAAACCGTAATCGATATTTGCGAATATTTTCATTTGCAAAGTCTTGCATCCGCAAAGAAGATCACTCTTCTTCCTAAACTTCTTGGCAGCTTATACAGTAAACGTGGTATAAAAACCTCATGCTGCTAGCGTTTCTGCGAATAAGATAGTTAACTCTCCTTGAGGTTGAGCCTAATCTGGCTTCACACTTACTTAGCATAACTCGGTGTCCTGGAACCCATTGTAGTTTTATGGTGAAGTCGCATATCTGTGATGAGTTCCCAAAAGACTTTGATGATTTCAAAGTCGCTTGGTTCTCTCCAAATACATATATATATTTCTTGTTGTACCAGTAGGCTTTCTTTAATTGCACCAATTTCCGCTTGTAAAACGCTGCAGTGATCTGGTAATCGCAAGGCGAAAAAAACCGCCTCTCGCTCGATTATTTCCATTTAGTTCCGCCCTTATATTAGGTGTACAACTTTGCTTTCGCCGTTTTTTTTCCAAAATTAAAATCTTTATTGCGAAAAAGTGCTTACAGATATATTATTCAAAAGATGGTTCTTTTCTAGCAACAACTTTCTCCCATCTTTCCGGCAAATTTTCGGATCCCGGCTCGAAAAAAGGAGTCCTCTTTTAACCCTATCCATGAAGCAATCCATTTTTCCAATTCTTCAAAGGATTGAAAATGTTGATCTTCCAGGCCGTGTGCCATCGAACGGAATAGGTGAAAGTCAGA